TCAATATGATATTAATAGTGTCCATGCTTATCATCCAAAGCATAATGCTTATTTCATATCATCCAAGCAACATGCTTACCATCCAAGCATTATTCTTTTACATTCCATATATTTTGTCGATATCAAATGAGAATAGTTTTAAAAGTTAATTGGTTGAGATGACATAAAGAAGATGAAGATAAATATTACATAAAGTGAGCTGTGTTTAGAGAGTTGGTGTATCTCCATGTGCAATAGAATATAAAAGGATCTCTTTTATGAAGAAAATTTTGAAAACTAGTGCTCTTCCTATGTGCCTTGTTGCATCCTTAACATTATTATTAAATTAACCTATAAGTTTGAAGAACTAAAAATAGAAAAAATTGACCTTGCGTTTCATATTTTCTAGGTAAAGCTTGTGTGAGTAGCACCTTTAAAAAAATGATTATTTCATTCTTTAAAAAATGCATAACAAAGGACACAGATGTAATATTCGATTATTCAAACATGCTAGAAAACCTCAAATTGAAGGGTTCACCTCTGAAAAAAAATGTGGCTTCTTTATTAAAATGTAAAATTTAGATTCACTGAGCTTCCAGAACGACTCTCACCAGAGGAGTGGTTTGATAGTTGGAAGTCATTGGCCAGTGCAAGGTTCTAAGGAAATTGTTTCTAAATACTTCAGCACCATTCCCTTTTAAATCTGTATGAACAAAGTTATTACGTGTGGATCTTTTTTGAAATCCAACTCTGCCGGCCCGAGTAGGAAGATGACACACCTTTCTTTCCTTGCCGCCTAAAACCCCCCGACGGCCTAACCACTTCCACTCTCGGCGTTTTCTGCCTGTAAAGTTCGCACCCGACGATTTCGCTTGGCCAGGCCGGCAAGCCCTCGTTTCAGGTAAGAGCATAGCTTTCTATCTCTCTTGCGGTCGCTCGTTTAAACTGCATTGCTGTAGGTGTCGTGTGGCCGGGCAAGCCTTCGTTTCAGGTTTGGGCTCTCTCTCTCTCTCGCTCGAAAACTGCATTGCTGTTGTCGTTGCTTTTCGTATTCCGTTTCCTTCGTTTGATGGGGATGAAAGCGACCCTCTTGAGTTAAAGGGGGAAATCGGAAGCATAGCGTTAGATTTCTCTCGGAACCGTTTGCCTAGTTTTTTCCAAATAAAAACAGCATGTCATTCGATGGTTTTCAAGCGTTCGAAATACCCAAAAACTTTCTGCGCCCCACATCTAATGCTGATAAACCAGCGATTGCTTGACATTTCAAGCCCACCTTATGGTCTGGACAAGACTTTTGCTTTGGTTGTGGGCTTTGATTACTCATGATTTATTTGTTGGCTTTGATTATTCCTTCAACCTTCGAACATAAACAATCACGTTTTGCTCTCTTATTTCTCCCTTTTATCTCTCTTTGTTTCTTGTCCGTTCCTGAATTAATTAGATTACATATTATTTAAATCTTATTACGCAATTTGAAGTCTAGTTTTTGGACTTGGAATTTTTTTGCAAGTTCATGAGTTAGTGTTATCGTTAATTTTGCATTGTCTCCTCGCTTTCTGGACAATTTTTTATGTAACAGTTACATTCTTTTTACATGACAAAGAAGTTTCATGAACTGCATTCATCGGGTCTACATTAGTAAAGGCTACCTTTTTTTATCCTGCATCACATTTTTTTTTCTCAGAGTTATCTAGGATGGAATTCCTAGTACAAGTGTTTGAAGGAATTTCTCTCTCTCTCTCTCTCTCTCAGGGTAGGATGGAATGCATGATGTCCCACAAACGTGGGGTGGGATAGTTATGCATCAATGGTGGGGGTGTGATCTTAACAGTTGACTATATCTCCGAATGACTTAAAGCCACCTCATTATGTAAAACGTTAAACTGTAGAAGAAATCAGGTGGCTTTTGGGCACTGGGTGATCAACTGGACTGTTTTATCTGTCATAAATTCCCCCAGCTCAAGATGAATCATATGGTTTGTCCAGATAACAGAATATTCTATCCGTCATAAGAAAGGCTAAATAATGTGCAAGATGTCTGTTTCCTTCCATTTTCATGTCCTTTGTAATTGCGTTTCTTAGGTAAAATCATTTATTTGATTGCTTTTAATGTCATCTTTCTCCTAACTACTCTCTTTAGGAAACAGTTAGTTATCCTTCAGGTTGCACTGTGTGACAACTATTTGGATTCAAACTGGAACTCTACTTCTTTTTAATTTGATGAACGACCCCACTGTCTAGTTTAATTAATTCTGGCGCATTTATATGTTTATAATTCAACACCGAATGATGTTTCCTTTGGAATTCTTGGTCTGCTCCATCTTGTCATCTGAAAACTTATTGAAGATAGCTCATTTTGGCGCAGTATCCGTTTTATGCAGTTAAAGTCTCTGGAGAAAAAATTATCTTATGCTGATGAAAATCACTTACAGCTTGAAGTGGCATCGAAATACTGACATCCTGTTTGAAACATCAAGTCTGTTATTAGCTGGCAGTATATGATTCTTCTATGTTATACATGTCTTGTTATTTCAAGTGTTTTGTTCCAATATTTCCTTTGGGAATCCTACTAGATTTATGAATCCAAATGCCCAGTTCTCATATTGAAGTCACTCTTCTTCTTCAGGCTGTGTGAATGAAGAATAGCTCTCTTGTCTCTCACATGCCGAGGAACGGTTCAAGTTCCCCTGGGAATAGGATTGCTGTTGATGGGCCCCATAATGGACAGCAGCCACATTTTTCAACCTGGAAAAATAATGGATCAAATGATCCAAAGGTGCGACCATTGCCCTCTTGGGAGTCTTCTGCAAGAAAGGAAACGCAAGATGCTTACCGCAGCTTTACTGCTAGCTCAGCGAACATGCAAAATTCTGATTTTATGGAAAGAGATGGTTCTGCTGATGTCATAATTAGTAAATTCACTGCACAGCCATTGGATGCAAACTCACACTTTAGTATAGCGCCATCTAACTTACCTGGAAAACCATTCAGCTCTCCAAGCAAGGTAATTTTTTGGATAGTTCACTGCATGTTGGTGATGAACTTAATGGTTTACTATATCAAGAAATCTTTGAAAGTTGTGGATTAATTCTGGTTCCAATAATCTAATCCACAAGTTTAGAAATGCATCTTTAAAGATGCATTTCTTCTGTTAACTATGACTTAGTAATCCTGAATCAAGCCACCATTTCTTTCACCAGATTCCAACTAAATTGACACGAGGAAGAATTCGAGTCTGTCATGCACCATGCCAGTAACGCAATATGCACAAGTTCAAACCTTCACCAAGTAGAACCTTAAAGAATTAAATTTTCCTTCTCTCAGTTACCAAGTTTGATTTCCTTTTCATGTGTTTTAAACACCTTTCTCTCAGTTTATCGTCACTATTGCTATCTGTATCTTCTGTCATTTCATTTGCTATTGCTTTTTTTCTGCACACATACTTGAACCTTCCTGTTTTGTTATTTCTTACATTGCCAGTTTATGCTATGTTATGAGTCCAATGTTGATAAAGACTGTAATACGGACTATTATGGAATAAGTATTTTTTGCAAGTATTCATTCAATAGAATTATAATTGAAGGATCACAGAGGAATTTACCACCTTCTTTTCATCTTTATCGTTACTTGATCATGTGGACCACAGCTTATTCTATGCTTCATTTATTTTCTCCTTAGATACTTTCTTCGTGTCACCTTCCAGGTCAGAGACCAGGTCATCCATTAGAAAATGGGGACTGCAGAGACCTGGGATGGATAAGTTAAACCATGTGTAGATCTGAGGTGGATAAGTTGGTTCTTCGTGCCATATCTTTTTCTCTTGGTTTTGTGAATCTTAAAATCAGATTATAATTCATCCTTAGTCTCAGTTCATACTCAAATTTGTCTCTTTATGCTCTGACACCAAGCCACATTGCATATCCTAAGACAGCTTTTCTTGAATATGTGATAGCAATAGAGAAGATCTGTGACCAAGCTCTCCTTTGATCTCAACTTACCATGATTGAGACACCGTTTATGCACTTATCTTGCTTGATAGGTATTTGCATAGAAATTTATCTCTTATTTTTATCCATCATATTAATTTTTAGCTGGCTCTGTTGTGTGGACGTATATCACACAGATTTTTCTGGACTCTAAATCCCTTGTTTTCTGCAAACTTTTACAGGGAATGACTTTCTTTTTACAACTTCTTGTAGTCTTCCATTGTTTCAACTTGGAATATTGTACTTTGTTGCATATCTGTGCATAAATTCTTTTTTAGCATTTCCAAGCAGTCTTGCTCTCTCTTCAATATAACAAATTTTACAGTAAGTCACAGTAGTCATATTTTCTCAAGAACTTTCTAGTTTCACCTCCTTTTTTCTAAGGTCCTGAAAGTTTATGTTAAGTATCGACATTACTATGTTCTCTATATTATTGTTAGCCCAGCTGCCTGCCGTTTTAGCTAAACTTTCCTCCACAGTCATTTAAGAGCATCCCAGTTGCCTCTGGCTTCATGCCTCGTATATCCACCGATTCATTCGGAATGTCCTTATATCTGAATCACTTTCTAGATGCTTCTCTCCTTTTTCATGAGCCCATTACTAGCTCTATGTTTGAGGGATGACCTCTGGTGCCAGAGTTCATGACGTTATTTTGAAGTCAATTTCAGAATGTTACTATCTTTTTGTGTAGTTCCCGGTATTGTTCTCTTTGGTTGCAATGTTAGTGCTACTTGGTTCTTTCGTTTGATGTTGGTTTATGTTCAAACTGGTGTTGCAAAGGCGTATCACCCCAGAGGAAATTTTCCCTATCTCAGTGATGGAGAGCATAGTCGAACTTTCCAAGGGACGAGCTCAACAGGGTTCAGTTCTAATGGTCAGAGTGTGATAGATATCGAGAGAAATAAGATGACAGGGTATTTCAACAGAGGCAGAGGTCCTGGCATCCTTTGTGAGGAATCTCGAGGTCCTCGTGCTGGCAGAAGTTTGGGCTCCTCTTCAAGTTCATCAACCACCAGAGATTGTTCAAACTCTTTGATGAACAGGGATAGATACAATCGCTCGGATTTCCGGATCGAGTACAAACAAGCCAAGTTCTTTATGATTAAATCATTTAGTGAAGATGACATCCATAAAAGCATCAAGTATAATGTTTGGTCAAGCACTCCACGGGGGAACAAAAAGCTGGATGCCGCCTTCTGTGAGGTGGAGGCGAGACTGGACAAGGGCACCAAGTGCCCAATCTTCCTCTTATTTTCTGTAAGTGTTTTATCAGAGGAAGCTGCCTGTAGATTGATTTCTGATGCTGCCTGCCTGATGAAAGTTTATTTCCCTTTCAGGTGAATGGTAGTGGACAGTTTCTTGGGTTGGCAGAGATGTTTGGGCCAGTGGATCTCAAAAAGACTATGAATTTTTGGCAACAAGACAGGTGGCATGGGTTCTTCCCCGTGAAGTGGCACATCATAAAGGACATCCCGAATGTCCTCTTCAGTAATATACTCCTCGAGAACAATGATAACAAGCGTGTGACCGCTAGCCGGGACACTCAAGAGGTGGCCAACTTCCTCACACGTTTACGTTTGTCTTGAAATAATCTGTCATCTTTTTATCAGAGATGCTGGAAGCTAAAAGTTTTTGACTGTTTAGTGCTCCCCCTTTCATGATCTTTAATGCTTCAGATAGGACTTCACCATGGTTTGAGGATGCTGAGTACTTTCAAAGATTTTCAAGCGAGAACATGCATACTTGATGACTTTGCATTCTATGAAGAGAAGGAAAAGTCCTTGCGGGCCAACAGGAGTGCAGCACAACAAGTAGCCATGAGGCGCTGCCCGGTAAAGATTCTTATGATTTCTTACATTCTAATTGGGTTTGATTTTAATCTGCTTAAACAGTCGTTGAGAGGAAAAAATAGTCACAAGAGAGACCATCCCTGATAAGATGCCTCCAAGATGTTCAAAACCATATGAAGCCCCGCTAGACCCCGTTTTCTAGGTTAAGGGATAAAGATGAGCTTGGAAGAAAGATAAGCATTCAGTGAGTTTAGTGACTGGTGGACTGAATTTATATATTAGTAAACGAAATACTCTGCAGTATGATATAAAGAAATTCTATCAAATTTAAATTAACAAATCCGAAAAATTCAAAGTTCATTTGGGTAGAGAAAGTCGTATCTATGAGAGCAGGAGGAAGCTGTTCCAGTATCCACCGAATATTACACACTATTCTGTCTGATCACTAAAAAAATGGGTCTTTTTTAGCATATTTCCTTGGGCAGAATCTCTGGTCTCAAGATTGTTCTATTTCACAGGATCATGCAGAGCCTGTGAGAAGAACAGTGCTGTCAAGGAGATTTGAGGGTAGGGAGGACGGTAGAAATGCCGCCTCTCTTGCTGCTCTCACTGAGAGGCTTTCAATCCAATCAACACAGGGGAGGCTGAAAAGACCCATGATGCCAAACTATGAGTAGGTCATGCTAGTCCTTCATGGAATTATTTCCAGACCCATTGTATTTACCTCTTTCAATGGCACTTAATTTTGGAATGTTGGCACTGGCATTATCTCCAAAATGCCTGTTCTATGGCAAAAGAAGTTTCCTATTTTGGGACTTGTGGAGTTGGGCTGGATGAATAAAGTATGTGATCATGATCTATTGTCAAATTTGAGCACATGCACATCAATAAGCAGGACTGCAATAATTTATTTAATACTTTGTTGGTATTTCAATGTTTTTTCAATGCAAGATTAGTAAATCAAAGTAATAAGTCAGGTCCATTATCAATTTCTTGTTGTTGTAAATAATGCGTTTAGTTATGTTGTATATTATTATTAATTGTAATTCCTACATGTCAATAATAAGGTAAAATTCTTCACTGGTCTAACCATTAAACATAATTATGTTTGAGGATTGAATACACTTATTTTTCAGGTTTCATTGATAAGAAGTTAACCAATAGGATCCAATTATTTTGTAGAAGTTTGAAACAATCAATTACTAAGGAATGGGGAATTACATATAATTTAATAAATGCCCTTTTTTAATATCCTAGATGATCATGTGGTTGAGCATCACCAACAAAAAAAATGATGGCTGAACCAATTGATGTAGAAGAAGGCAGGCTGTAATTTTAAAGCTAAAATAATAATATATTTAAACACATGAATGACCATTAGATGTAAGTGTTCTAGAAGATGTAGAAGTATACTTTACAATCTATGCTTTGTGGTTTGGCATAATTGAGGGTGTCAATAGGCAATATCGTTTGGGAAGAAGTTTATATCCCAGCCTTTTTCTATTGCTAGTGGATATGACTATGAAAATTTTGAAAGAGGTTTATGCTCTAATAGCTTAGATCATCAAGATGTTGTGCTTTGACATAGGTTGAGTGGACTTTTAAATCTTCAAGTGTATAATGCATTCATAAGCCATGTTGCTTGTGCCCTAATCTTGAGTCTCATACCCATCACATTCATTTGTGTCTACCTCCTCTCCCATGTCCTAGTGAAATGTGCCCTCATTAGAAAACCTTGAGCTTTCCAAATGAATCTTGTTCTACATTCTTAAGCACTAGTCCAAAAGGTGCAATTATGTAGTTAGTTGAGACTGAAGTCTCATAAGACATGGTTTGCAATTTATTATGTCTTATTTTTTATGGCTTGCTTTAATATTATTAGACTCACAGTCATCTTAAAATTCTAAATGAATTGATATAAGAGAGCATACAAAACCCTAAATTGTAAATTGAAACACTAAACCCTAAACCTTAAACCCCAAATTATAATAGAAGTGGAACTAACATCTCAATGAATATACACTACCATCACCCTCATACCAAAATGGAGGTGGGCTGGAGGATGTAGGTGTGGTTGACCTGCCAAAAGTGACTAAATAAAAGGTGAGCCCATCTAAACTCTTACCTGAAGCTGGTCATTTGGTTATTGTTTGGTGCCTTGACCCACTCAATTCATTGCCAAAACAAATAGAAAAAAAAAAGGGAGAGGTTATCTTGAGGAAGTGGAGTGAAAGCTCCAAAAGTTAGTATCCCCCCCCTCTCCTACCTCAAGCCTCCAAAAAAAATAAAAAAGGAAAAAAAAAGGGGAAGAGAAGAGACAAAAGATGAGGAAGAAGAGATAATTTTTTGAGGAAAAAGCCACCCACTTTATGTAAGCCCTCCACCATCTAAAGAAACAAAACAGTAGTACTGGTGGGCACAAGTTCCAGAATTCCATGGTGCACTGGTCAAAGGTAGGAGGATGAGTGGTCACCAAGGATAGTCAGCCAATGCACATTCCAAGGCCCATTCCCCAAGTGACAGGGGTGAAGCAGTGGAATGATAGGATAGTTAGCCTATCTTGAATGCCTCAAGTTGGACCGGAGGGATTCTAGTCTAGTCTCCAAATCCATATAGACCAACCAAAGTATAAGAGGTGGACTGGATACGTCAATTGGACAACAGTAGTGACTCTAGTAGTGACTCCATTGGCTGACAGGCCAGGCCACCTTGAAGACTGATGCAGAACCCTCAAGCCCCACCTAAATTAGCCAAGACCTTCTTGAAGCAGGTCGGACCTCCTAGCCTACCCGAGCAGATTAAAGATGTTTTAGCCATCCCCGGATCCATCTAAGCAATTGCCCCCTATTTGTAAAGTACCCCTCTTCCTATCCGGGGCTTGAGGCAAGAAATAGCTTGATGAACCATTTTGTTTGCTATGCCCCGGCCCCTCAATCAAGGTCATAAGGGAGAGAATCCCCCCCCCAAGGCCTTGTGATCACAAGATACTTGGGATAGAGTAATTGAATGTTGTACATTTTTAGGAATGCAAGAACTTTGTTTAAAAAATATTTAAAAAATTAGAAAACACCCCAAATCATAAACCTCAAACCCTAAACCTCACATTGCAAACCTTAAACCGAAAACCCTCAAGTCTTAAACCCATATTGTGAAAGAAATTTTTTTACATAATAAATTATTTACCCTTGCTTGGAAGAAAAACAAGATGAGAAAAGTTCTACACTACCAAAATAATTTATGAGACCTTAAAATATAGTAATTATGAATTTAATGAATAAAATATAAATATAAATAACTAGTAGGATAATTTTCTATAATCCCACCACCATATAAATTATGATAGTTTGATGTGTGTTTAGGTCTACTTGTATCACTATAATCCTTACATATGAGATATATCATCACTATAGCAAAAGTCAACTGTGTTCAAAATGAGTCATAGAGGCAATCAAGGAGTGCAAAGTTGTGAAAAATACCATTTTGTATTGTGCTTGAGCATAGTTTTTTGAGATATTTCAAAAGCACAGTCCCCCAAATTACCATAGGAGAAAAAAAACATGAATTTTTAGAATTTATATAAAGTAACATAAAAAAAAATCAGAATTTTTGCATACACCCTCTTGAGTTGATATTGCTAGCTCACAAAAGCCCACTAGTATTTATGCTTTTAGCTTTTAAATATGCTACATTTTACAATGCAGCTTGAGAAGAGGGCAAAACAATTGGAAGAAATCTACCATTAGTAGTTTCATTTATAGTAGAAATATTATAAATGAAAATAATGAACCAAAAAATATATTAATGATTTAGCACTGATTGATGGCTTCATTAAAAAAAAATTGTGATAATAACACATGGAAGAAGATAATACAAAATTTTATGGTTCTATAATAAGTATTAGATGATCTTACTAATTGCTATTGAAAAGAGCCTTGAATTTAGTAAACTCAAACCCAAGCTAAAATAGTAATTTTAAACTAAATGTTAGTATGCTATTCAAAATGTTTATATATGATATTCAACTATCATACATAACGTACATTGGTTGAGAAAATATGTTTAGATTGTAAGGTTGGCTTTTTCTATCATAAATTCTGATTTAGATCCATGATGACATTGATCCATTCAATGGTGAAATTTTGTCTCTAACTAAACTATTATGACTTAACAATTTTTCCATGGAGCTATTCTTCTTACTCAATTTTATATCTGATTAAAAAGTGAGTTGGCAAATAGCCTGAAAATTAAAATACCATATTAGCCAATAATGTTGGTAATGATGTTTAGGCACCAAGGTTGCATTGGATGGTTAGATAGCTTGAATCTCAAATGGAAATTCCTTTGGTGGATAACTATGAGACTAAAAGCCTTATTCATTCTTAAAATACACATTTAAATCAATAAAAATAATTTAATACATATTTATCACTAATGAGGGAATAAAATGATTGTATTTTTGGACATATGACAAGAATTAGACTAAGAATGGGGGATTCAATTGGTTTAATCTAACTGTTAAATCTCTCTCCTTTTATTTCTTTCTTATCTTTTCCTAATTACTCAAATCAATGAAATATTAATAAATTTTTATCATGGTTTGTTCTTCTTAAACCTGCTCTCCTTTCCAAGGACATTATGTTATTGAGTTTCACTAACAATTTATTATTTCATGGCATATTAGAAGGGTTAATTCTCCCAAACCTTCACCCAAAAATATTTATGGAGTTACAATTTTGAAAGATCTAACACTAATTACAAGGATCTGACGTGACCTAGTCATTGTCTAATAAATCATA